TTGGGAATTCTCCCTTGGAGCCAAGGTGGGAATGGGAGAAGGAARGGGAAGGAGATGGGATCCCGATCCCATGGAATGATCCTGATCCCGGTGGGATTGTCCCCATCCCCCTCTGGATCTCTCAGATTCCCACGGGATGGGATACGGAGCCCATGGGATGATCCTGATCCTGTTGGGATTGGCTCCATCCCCTCTGGATCTCCCTGATCCTGATCCTGATCCTGATCCATCCCTTCCAGCTCTACCTGACCCCACAGGCTGATCCTGATCCCGATCCCAATCCTGATCCCAATCCTGATCCCAATCTCGTCTCTGTCATTCCCATCCCAATCCCAATCTTGATACCATTCTCGATCCCGATCCCATTCCAGATCCCAATCCCATTCCCAATCCCAATCCCAATCCCAATCCCAATCCCCATTCCAATCCCAGTCCCAATCCAATCCCAAACCTGATCCTGGCTCTGTCGTTCCCATCCCAATCCCGATCCTGATCCCCATCCCAATCCCAATCCACATCCCGATCCTGATCCCCATCCCGATCCCAATCCCGATCCCAATCCCAATCCCAATCCCAATCCCAATCCCATTCCCATTCCCAATCCCGATTCCAATCCCAATCCCAATCCCAATCCTACTCCAATCCCAATCCTGACCGATCTCAATCCTGATCCCAATCCCCATCCCCATCCCGATTCTGATCCCAATCCCTGCTCTGATCCCGATCCAATCGCAATCCCGATCCTGATCCTGTCTCTGTCGCTCCCATCCTGATCCCATTCCCTATCCTAATCCTGATCCTGATCCTGATCCCAATCCTGGCTCTGTCGTTCCCATCCCAATACTGATCCTGACCCCAATCCCGATCCCGATCCCGATCCCAATCCCATCTCTGTCATTCCCATCTAGATCCTGATCCCAATCCCATTCCTGTTCCTGATCCCCATCCCAATCTGATCCCGATCCCAATCCCAATTCCCGATACTGACCCCAATCCAGATCCCGATCCCAATCCTGATCCCCATCCTGATCAGATCCCCATCCCAATCCTGATTCCCGATCCTGACCCCAATCCGGATCCCAATCCTGATCCTGATCCCATCCCAATCCTGATCCAATCCTGACCCCAATCCCGATCCTGATCCCATCCCAATCCTGATTCCCGATCCTGATCCCAATCCCCATCCCCATCCCGATCCGATCCCGATCCTGATCCAATCCCGATCCTGTCTCTGTCGTTCCCAACCCGATCCCGATCCCATCCCGACCCCGATCCAATCCCAATCCCGATCCCAATCTGATCCCAATCCCAATCCCGATTCTCGATCCTGACCCCAATCTGGATCCCAATCCCGATCCTGATTCCATCCCAACCCTGATCCGATCCCAATCCTGATCCCAATCCCGATCCCCATCCCGATCCAATCCGATCCTGATCCCCATCCCAATCCCGATCCTGTCTCTGTCTGTCGTTCCCAACCCGACCCCGATCCGATCCCAATCCTGATCCCAATCCCGATCCCAATCCTGATCCCATCCCAATCCCATCCTGATCCCGATCCCAATCCCATCCCGATCCTGATCCCGGTTCCATCTCTCTCATTCCCATCCAGGTTCACGGTCAGGTTGGGGTGAAGTTCCGGAACTGGGCCGGCACCTATGGATCGGATCCCGAGCTTTACTTCCAGCCCGAGTCGGTGCAGGAGATCCGGGAGGTACCGGAGCCGCTCCGGGAAAACCAAAAATTACCGTAGAGAAAAGGGAATGACTGGGGAAAAGCGGGAATGACTGGGAAAAACTGGGAATGACTGGGAAAAACTGGAAAAAAACAGGAATGGCTGGAGAAAACCAGGAATGACTGGGAAAAACTGGGAATGAATGGGGGAAAAGCTGGGAAAAACTGGGAATGACCGGGAAAAACTCAGAATGACTGGGAACGACGGGGAAAAACTGGGAATGACCAGGGAAAAAATGGGAAAAACTGGGAATGACCAGGGAAAAAAATGGGAAAAACTGGGAATGATCGGGAAAAAACAGGAAATGACCAGGAAAACACAGGAATGACTTCAGGAAAAGCCAGGAATGACTGGCAGAAACCTGGGAAAAATTGGGAATGACTGGGAAAAAGGCTAGGAAAAACCAGGAATGATGGGGGCAAAGACTGGGAAAAACCAGGAATGTTTGGGTAAATCCAGGAATGACCAGGAAAAACTGGGAATGACTGGGAAAAATGGGGAATGACCAGTAATGACTGGGAGAAAGGCCGCAAAAACTGGGAATGTCTGGGAAAAACAGGGAATGACCAGGAAAAAGTCCGGGAAAAACCAGGAATGACAGAGGGAAATGCTGGCAATGACCGTAAGAAAGGTCAGGAAAAACCGGGAATGACTGGGAGAAAGCTGGGAAAAAATGAGAATTCTCCAGGATTTCAGGGCTGGGAAAAGTGGGAATTCTTCCCTGATCCCCAGGAAATCTGCGGCAGCCCTATTTCTTTCCCCCATTTTTTTCCCCTTTTTTTTCTCCCATTTTTTTCCC